GCCCCACCTGTGCACTGGCGCCCTCGCTCTGGGCTCCGGAGTCTGGGGGCGAATCCACAGGTCCGAGAGGCGCTCTAGGGCCAGACCCTGGTCCTGTGAAGACCCAGACCCTCGCCCCAGGAAGTCTTAAAACGTGCCTGGCCCAGCCCTGGTGCTCTGGCCCTGGCCACGTTTGGGGAACAGGGAGGTGAGGTAGGGATGGGGGAAATCACTGGCCTCTAGACTGGGAAAGAGCCTTTGTAGGGTAAAGAGTGTGGCCTTGGATTTCTCATAGACCTAAATCCCACTCGGGACATGATTCCTGGCTCTGTGACCTTGAGTGTCCTCCTTAACTTCACTGGGCCTTGATTTCCTCATCCACAAAATGGGGTAAGGATTCCTGTCCTTCCTGGTGGTGTAAGGGTTCAGCGGAGCCAGGAGGAGGTGTCTCCTGGGAACATCTTCTTCCAGCCTTCCTTGAACATCTATCCTAAGATTCAGACTTAACCTGACCTCTGAAAGAGCCCTTTCCCCACCACCACCTGCCAATTCTTGTGTGATTTTCCCTTTGGGAAATAATTCGGGGTGAAGCCAGCAGGCAAGGGGGAGGAAGGGAGCCTCCAGCCAGTGAGAACCTCCTCCCTGCAGGGCACTTTCAGTCCTTCTCTTTTTTAACCTTGAGAGGGATGGAGTAATAACTCATGCTGAACAGAAAAGGAACCTGAGGCTTGAATAAGTGGCCCAGAGTCCAGATTTTTTTTTAAAAGGATGCTGGAGAAACACTGGAGAGAGCGAGCAGTGTTCCTGGATCTTACCTCCCTCCCAGCTGACAAGCTCCATTTGTGAGCCGCCAAGTCCCTCTGCTAGCATCCAGCTCAGCTGAAGGCAGCTGGGGAGAGAAATGGATGAGGCAGCAGCGAGCTGCCCAGTCTCACCTAAGACCCGCCGACCCACATACTCTCCTTCATTGAGGTCTAGAAACAAGGATTGGACTCTCTCATCCCCTCCCTAGTAGCCTCTCCACTCAGACCCACCTGCCCCGTTCTCCCTGGGCCCCACCTACATCTTGGTCCAACAACGACAAGTGTCCCAGCTTCTCAGATCCAGCCCGCTTAGCCTTATACAGCCTCTTCCCCCTCAAAGCTCCTCCCCATTCAGTACGTATGAAATCCAGAGACAGCAAAACCATCTGTCCAGGTCTATGTCTAAAACTGGAGAGCCACACTTGACACCTGTCTCTCCCCGTCTCCTGGGAGCTGGACCACTCCTCTCCCCACTGAAGACCCTGTCCAGGACTGTTTCTTCTCCAGCTGGCTTTATAGTGACACTATCCTAGAGTCCAGTTTTTGTCCACCTGACACTCAGTGGCAGGCAGTGAGCTTTCTCGAATATAACTATGATCATGCCTCTCCCCAGATGAAAACCCCTCAGTAGCTCCCTGTGATCCTTGATCCTTAGGCAAGTGAGGTCCTTTTCTAATCATCTTGCCCCCCCTCCACACGCAGCCTGTATTCAAACCACTACCAACACACACATCCCACAAATTTTCACTTCCCTAATGAGTCATATAGTAATTCCTCACCCTGAAATGACCTCCATCCCATCTTGTTCTCCTGGAGAACAAAAACACTGATGTTAGAAAAAAACTTTGGTTTTAGAGACAAGGGTTTTAATTCCAGTTCCTTATTCATTTCTTTGGGCATCTATTTATGTCCCAGATTCTGTTTTATTCACTGGGAATACAGGGTATATTATATATATATATATTGCCCTTTCCCTCTATAAGGTTATAGTCTAGCATTGGAGATGGGCTTTAACCCAAGAATCATCCACAGAAATGGACAATTACAACTGTGACAAGTACTATGAAGGAAAAGCACGCAGTCTTATGAAGGTGTACAATAGGTTGGTTTGACCAAACCAAAATGTCGAGAGAAGGCTTCCCTGGGGAAGTCTCTCTTTGAGTTGAAATCACGGTCAAGTAGGCAAAGGGGACAATAAGAGAAGGAAAGGCATGGCAGGCAGAAGTAGGCATTTACTAGCTGTGAGATCTTGGGCAAGTTATTTGATCTCTCTGAGCCTCAGTTTCCTCATCTTCAAAATGGGTTAATAATAGTAGTTTGAAAGATAAATGTGATGATACCAAAATAATTCCTATAGAAGAGGTTCTGAACCTCCCTCTTCCTCCAGCTGTACCAGCGCAGTTCCTTGCCCCGGGCTGCTCTCCACAGAGGCTTCTGCCCTGACTTTTTTGAAGGAGAGTCAGAAAGTGGGTGCGTTATTGCACGTGAGAGGCTAGAGGAGAAAGAAAAGGTCCCCAAAGGAAGAGACTTTATTTGTCGTCATAGTAAAGAGCAGAAGTAGAAAGATGGGGAGAGGGACTAAAAAAGTTCAGTGTGGGATTTCCCAGGAAAGTTTGATGTACGAGAGGTGAGTGAATTGGGAAGCCTGCAGGAAAGTGAATAAGGAAGAGAAAAGGGAATTTTAGAGAAGGGTTAACTGTTGTGTTCGCAGAACTTTAAAAATGCAAGAAAGCAATTTGCATTTGGAAATTATCTTTTTGAATACAACACTGCTTGGAGACTGGACCACACTGAACACGGCTTTATATGTTGCACGGGGCACTCAACGATGTCAGTGCCTTTCCCTCCTTTTAGGTCTGACTTAAACTGTGCCTCTCCAGGAAGCCTTCCTGGCTCTTCTGGACTGAGTGTCACGTAGAGCCCTGGGTTGGCTCATATCCCATAACGTTCAGCAATTGTGATACAGCGTTGTCACCATTCATTTACATGGCTTCTGGCTCTCTAGCCTTCGAACTTCTTAAATCAAGGAATTGTATCTTATTCATGTCTGAATTCCCCAAACCAACACAACAAGTGGGTGCTTGACAAACTTTTGTTGGTGGAGGAATAATAAAAGGGGGGCTCTGTGCCCAACACTGTGACACCAATGGACAGACAATTCAACCAACGAAGGTACACACAGACCCACCTCACAACTTTGCGTTGGTTTTCAGTTAGTTCCAACTCCCTGAATCCCATCTATTCACTCATCCAGCAAGCATTTATTGAGGACCTACTATGTGGGAGATGGAGGGGAGATGGTACAGGGTATACAAGTCAGAGCCAGTGTAGGTTTGTATCATGATTATTAAAAACTTCCACAAAAGGCAGTAAATCATATTGAGAAAAGGGAATCTTTTTCTTCTTAGCACAAAATTGATGTCTGAGCTGGGGGCTGAGCTGCAACTAGGTCCCAGGCTCTGTCCTAAGCTGGGGATTACAAGGAGAATCAAATATAAGCTCCTATCCTCCTGGGACTTATGTTCCCAAAGAGGGAGGAGGAGGAGGAAGAGAGGGTGAAGAAGAAAAGGAAGAGGAAAGAGAGAGAATGACATCTATGAGCCTCTAGACTCAGTCATACTCTGGTCTTTGCAGTTACAAGCTTTTTGCTAACACATGACTGAGCTGAGTTTCCATTGTCACCTGCAACTGAAAAAGCCTTGCTTAGAGCAAATAATGAACCAGACTCAGTGGGGGCCTGATGGACTAGGGGATGCCTGTTTGAGTGGGCAGCACTGGGACAGGCTGCACAGAAGAGAGGCGGCTCCAGCTGGAGGGTGAGATGGAATCCGCCAGCACTCTGGGCTGGGAGGGGCATTCCTAGCACAGGGAACAGCATGTGCAAAGGCTCAGAGGCATGAAGCCTCGTGCATGAAAGGATCGATTTTGGAACTCGAGGACTTTTCCCTCTGTAATCCAGAAGACCAGGTTTCTCATCACTTCTGGAAACTGAGAGTTTCCTCTCTATGAGTAAGACCGTACGCAAGCAAAGGAAATGAATGTGCTGCCAGGTTATGGTGTCACGTGTCCCGCCCATCTTCGTAGGGAGTAGCTTGGTGGGGATGATGGTTTGGCGTAAGTGATGGCTGCCCTCTCTCACCCAAGCTCTTTCCCACATTTTCAAAGGAGCTGGGCAGAGTTAACAACTGAAAACGGTGGAGTCTCTGGG